TGCAATAAACGTGGGTGAATAGACGAGAAAGAAAAACGATTGTGGAAATAAAAATGAAATATTCTATTCATATATAAAAATTTATACAAAAAATATCATAAAAATATTGTGATAGTGATATTGTTGTAAATATAAATCATATTTGTGGGTATTTTATTTTAAAGTGAAAGGTCACAATTAAATTATATCATTGTGTTTGAAAATTTTATATAAAATTTATATTTGTATATCATCACTCACTACAACATATAAGAGTTTTAGATACCAAATTTTTTATTCTCTAAAAGTGAAAATTTTGTTACAAAAGACATTTAAGGACCAATTTTTATCATCGTGATACTGAAAAGTAAAAAAAAGACTTTTAGAGACAATTTTTTGAAAATGTCACTAATAAATATACTTTTGGGGACAAAATAATTTGGTCTCAAAATGATAAATTCATCACTAATATCTAATTTTCGTTGCTAAAAATATAAGAACCATACTTTTCACAACAAAAATATTTGGTCTCTAAAAAATAATTTTATCCCTAAATTTTGGTTTCTAAAACTTCGATTTTTTTGTAGTGACTCAACAAAAATATGTTCAGGTAAAATTTAATTATGGAAAATTATAAAATGCAGTCATGATGATAGGGAAAAGAAATGGTAGAAAAAATGACAAAATGGTCATTTAAAAAATTTTAGGATATGACACCAGCTATCCAAGGGACAATTTGTAATAAGATTACAAACCTCAATGAGAAGAATGTAATTTTTCAAATGTGAGAGAGGAATCTATATGAAACAAAAACCTTAAAGGGTGTTAGTGTAATTTACCCAAATTAAAATAACACAAATGACATACTTTGCAAATTAAAGTGTAATTTTTTTAATTGAGTGTCCTCATGTACCTAACTTTAACGAAATCTAGTGATCGAGTTAAGTTGGGAGGCCATATCAAAACACTTTTTATATATTTGTGACTAAATTGATACAATATAATAATAACGATCAAAAAATGACAAAAATTGGATACTTTGGGAACTAAAAGGATAATTAACCTTCATTTTGTAAATTTAACTTGAATCAAAACATTATTAAAAAGGTGTTGAAGAATAATGTAATGACAGGTAGATGAATAAAAAAATAATATATAAAATAGGTATAGCTACTAAAAAAATGCATATGCATTTATTTATAACAATAATATAATATTTATAGCATAAATTAATCATAAAATGACAGGACTTTTCTCACAAAAAAGTTACATTTTGCTCACCATAAAAATTTTAACTTACATTTTATAATGGACACCAAAAATTAAAAATTTGTAACTATTGCAATTTTTATCGCAAAAAATCTTAACTTTCTGACCATAGAGCTCTTGTTAGGAATGCATATTATAAATTTTTAACATTGTACTATAAAAAATTTAGAGTAAAATTTGATGAGGTGACACGTTTAATATTTTTTATGTTAAAAATAAAAATTAAACGAAGAGCCCACAACAACTATCATGATAATGACTTGATAATAAACTTGGTTTCTTGGTGATAGACTTGTTGTGTCCTTGATTTACTAACTACATTAAAGTCAAACACACATATGGGATGATCAACCTTTAGGTTCAAGGTCAGCCTCACAACAAGTCATTTTAGAGACTTTGGGGGTTTTGTGAAGTGGTGCCCAATGGCCATGTGCCATTTATAATTGTAAATGTGATCACAAATAATTGTTTTTAATTATTTTTCTTTTATTGCTGAATTAAAGGGTGAAATTCTTTTGTAAGTCAGGCTTGTCAATTTTACTTGATTAGGGTCAATACATAAAAATATGCAAAATAAAAAACAATACGAAGTAATGTATTGTTAAGGTAAAATATTTGATAATTAATTTGAGGTTTGTAATATTGCTCTTTCATAACTAAACAAATTCAAAGAGAGAGAGAAATGATTAAGATTAAGATGAATTTTGAATATTTGTTAACCTAGAAAGTCATTAATCTTATTTTATTTTTTTTCATATAAGCAGGACCCACATAATACAATGCACCCAATCGCTGGCCTCTCTCTAAAGCAGATTCTCTACATAGCATGGCACTACAGTGTAACTGTTGGCCGCTGTGCTCTTGCTGCTATGATTATGGCTTTTACCTTTTGGGATAAAATGTAGAGAGAGAGAGAGAGAGAGAGAGAGGAGTTATGGCCGGAGGTGGTGGGTGGTGGTGGCGATTGCAACAAAAATCTGCCACCAACCGGCGCTGTTTTGGGTTGTATTTTTTTTATCAAATAATTCAATGTATATATAAATAATTCGTACAAAATGACTATGTTAGTTTTTTATTTTTTATTTTTTAATAATGTAACCACCTGGTTAGTAAAAAGTGGCTTTTTTTCCAAATAGTATGTTTGATTTGTGAACGGGATTAGAAAAGATTATTCGGATTTGGATAATTCTTTGCCCGATTCAGACATTTTAGTTATGTTATAACAAAATTGTCATAATAAGAAAATTATTCATCTTTCAAAACAATGAGTTATATTGAATTATAAAATATGAATGAAATACATGATAATTTTAGGAAGCCTTTCACTTCTCTTTTTTTTGGGGGGTGATATTTCCTCTTGTAGGCTTGAAAATTAGTGTAAATATCTTCTTTTTTTTTTTTGTAATATTATTCCAAAATTATTTAATCCTATACAGGGCCTAAAATTATCTAAAATGAATTCTATATAAAAAGAAAGATGAAAAAGACTATAGGATCGTTTGGTAAAGTTTTAAAATTATAATTTGATAATAGAATTGTATTTTGAATTTGTGTGGGTGTTTGGTTTGGGAAGTAAGTTTTTTTAGTTGTAAGATATTATTAGAGAAATTTTTTTTTGTGTATGGGAAGATAATTGAGTTTTTTTGTGGTTTGATGTGATATTTGTAAGAAAAAAAAATAAAATGATTATAGGGCTTGATGTGATAGTTTGTTTAGATTTGTTTTTTTTTTTTTTTGATTTTGTAACCAATTTGTCTTTTAATAAAAAAAAATCAAAAAACCAACTTCCCAAACAACGCTAAGTTTTGAAATTATAATTTGAATATAAAAAATTTGTTTGATTATAAATTTTTAAAAGAATTTAAATTGAATGATGTGACATATAATATTGAAAAGTGAATATTTTGAAAAGTGGGTATAAAATTAATTTTTTAAAATTATAATAAAACAACACATTCAAACTAAAAGGTAAAATTAAATTTCAAAATCTCTACCCACGCTTGTAATTGTAAATATTCTGTCATTATCCAATGTGCATGCTTTGGGCAAAAAGCTTTAATTATTGGTGTTTAACAATTGACTTTAGCAAAGAAAAAGAAACTCACTCACTCAATAAATATATATATATATATATATATAAATAAAGAACAGAGCTAATTTAAAAAAATTGATTTTAATACAGTATATATTTTTTTATTTACCTACTTTTTTTTAAGTGTAAATGAATATGTTTGACACCATTTTAAAAGACATCATACGATTTGGATATGGTTACAAATCAATGAATTCATGATACACGTTTTGACACAAAACAACCCAATCAAATTAACATGATATGTTGGTGAACCATTTCTTTGTCCTCCAATCAATTCCCAACCAATGAGGACACCAATAATATGTACTCTCTCACATTACCATCCAGCTGTCATCATCATCATTCTATATACCATTTAAGCTGTCCAATAAAAGGAAACCAATCCCAATCTCATGTCTAGGTGGGTGGATTGGACTCTATCAACCACCTTCCATCAAATCTGAATTTTCTTTGTCTTTTTAATTTCCTCATTTTTCATTAATTTAGGATAATTATTATGCATCTAGAATAAGCTCATGGCCAGTTAAATTATGATTAAAACATTGTTATATTCATATAAAAAGTATTTTAAAATTTTAATGTGTAATCTAGATTCAATTAAGCTATAAACTTTTATCATATAAAATGAAATCTCAATCAACTATACATTAACGTTGTTATGTTTCTACCATTAGGAAAAATATTCTTCCATAAAAAATTTCATGCAAAATTATTAATCAAAATACTATTTAAGTAACAAGTTCAATATTAAACGGTATTTTGACAAATTTTTATCATAAAATAATAGCTCAGAATAATTTCTATCTTTTTTTGTTTGTATATAGGATTAGAATAATGCTTGGAATCCCTTTTGGAGGTCACCTCCTCACTCCCTTTGCCACGTGACGGGTGGTGATTAGAGGAACAGGAAAAAAAAAATATATATATATATATATAACCAATAAGAGAAAGAGGGGGTCAAAGGGGATGGAAGAAAAAGGAGGGATGAGTCATTGTTTGATATGATTAATATCATCAACTGCTGCAGCTTGATTTGTGCCATAAATTTTTACCCACGTGTCCCCGGTTCTGGAACCTATCAACTTCTTTCACAGAACAATACTTTGTCCCCTCTTTTACGGCAGTGCAAGCTGGTCTATATTTGAGCAATGCTACATATACAGAAATATCACACTAATATACAAGTAATTTTTATATGTAAATAAAGTATATATTATATGATATTTTTTATTATTTTAATTGGATTTAATAGTAAAGTCTATTATATTTATGTTAAGTATTTGAAAAATAATAAAGACATATACATTTACAATTGGTGAAAAATCTATGTAACCTACTAAGGTACAAAAGTTTCTCCAAATATAATAAGAAAATTCAATGTGTGATCAAGATTTATTATAAATGGAAGCCCCACAATACATGGCTCGATATGACTGACATTGATTTAGAATCAAGAATCCGGAGGTGGGCAAGTGTCCATGATTCATATCAGATGGCTGTAATTTGGTGTGTGATGAAGCCTACGAGAAGATGGTGAACCAAGAACATGAAGATCATATACATATTGGGTAAAGCTTGACAGTTCAATGTGTGTATTGGATAAATGGGGCGAGCTGAACAGGATGACAGAATGGGTCTTCGAACATCCCACGGCAAATTAGCTGAACATGTTTTGCATCATTTTATAATACCAAATTTCCTCACATTTCCACTTCAAATTGAATAAGAAATACAAGGATTTGTTTTGGGAATAAACCAGTAGGAACTGACGTTTATAATATAAATTTTTTTGAACAGACGTTTATAATATAAAGCTACCAACATTTCACACAATTCATCTGGTGGCAAATAGGCAAGCATGTCAACGTAAACCCGTAGTTCGCATTCCTTCTGAATGAACTAGGTTCAATTTTACCATAGATTCGAGAGGGCTTTCCCCTTTTGGCATGTTGTCACACAATCCAGTACCATCTCCCTCAGCTGTTTCTCAACATCTTCAATGGGTAAGCTAGCATCTATGGCCTGCAAGTGAGCCTTAAAAATATGTTAGTGTAATGAAACAGATTCACCAGACTTAAAAGCTGAATGAAACTGTATCTACAGTTATGATATCTTAAGCTAGTAAACTGGATAAATGTAAATTAAACACACATACACTCACACACACTAATTGTTTGGCTAACAAAAAATATATATATATATATAAATGAAAATAAAAAACCGTCACAGAAATCAACAAAACCCAAGTTTGGTCTGTGCTAAAACATCAATTAATGCCTTTAATTTTTTTTCTTCCCCAATAAAATTGCATATGAAATCCAAAATACACCTTGAAAATAAACTGCAAAACCATAATTTGGTGTTGAGGCCAAAAAAGATCATGGTAAAATCTGAGGGGGCGCCCACAGGATGGCATCATAAGGAATCAAACAAAATAGTTTTCTGGTGAGAGTAACAACACTGGATTATTCTCCTTTGGCATTAAAAACAGAAAAAACATAGTTATTACCTTCCACGAGGCGTCATAGAGCATCTGATAGGAACGGGCAACTTTTTTTTGAAGCTCAAGCTGCTCATATCTCTCACCACCATAGCCTCCTCTTTCAGCAGCTTTCTGGCAATTTCAAATTGACCTTTTCAGTTACCCTGACAACAACTTTAAATGGTGGACACACACACAGGAAACTGATAAAGGGTTTCTCTTCATTTACACCATATCATACAACAAAAACTTAACCCATGGGTGAATCAAGTGTTTTTCAATATGACATTCAATTCACTAATACTTTGTTATAAAGCTGAAATTAGTCTTAAAACAGATGACCTCAACAGCTAAATCAATGGTCATCCTTTATTTTACCATATGGAATGAGGAATGATGACCAATAAACATATTAAGGATCATCACACTCTGGACCAGGACTCCCCTGTATATGAAGCCAAATAGAAGTTTTTTATTTTTTATTTTTCCTCTTCATTTGTGTTTTTATTTTTATTTTTCTCTTTTTTTTGGGTGGGGGTGGAGGTGAGGGTGGGGGTGGGATGGAGTGAAGTTGGTTCAAACTAGTTTTGTGTGTGTACTCCACCTTGGAAAATTATATTGATGTCGCTTCCAAAACATATCAATTCACAACACAGTCAACTTTTTCATCAATTACTAAACAAGCCATCCAAAAAGCAGACTTTTTTACTCAAACTGCAAAGCTTCACAACATGATTGAGATTTTAAAGTTATCCTACCCTAATTTCACCAACAAACATGATAACAGAACAAATTACCTCTGGTGGTATTTCAAGGTATAATACCAAATCTGGTGCCAGCAATCCCATCTCTGGTGCCTGCACAAGGATTTATTTTTTCTTTACTTAAAAGGAGATAAGGAGGAAATTCACTTTTATAATAGTTTCAAGTATGTCTTCACACCTTACACCATTCAAAGTCAAGTCCTTTGGCAGATGAAAAAGCTACCCCAGAAAATGAGTAGCGGTCCACAATGAGGGTGGTTCCACTTCTCAACTTAGACTCCATTAATGATCTGCAAATACATTGTAGATGATCATGTACAATACAACCTTCACATTTCAAATATTTGCTTGTGCGAACATCTAAAGTACTAATCACTAACAGATTACATAGTAGTACATATGGGGATTATAAATCCAACATTCTAATAACTTTACTGTTAGATGGATTTGTTAATATGAAAGAAAAAAAATGGGACTATTGGACAAACAAGAGCATAATAACTAAATGATTTCAAAAGTTACAACATCATATTAAGTAGGAGGCAGAGCCCTTGCCCTGCAAATCTGAAAATGTTCTGTAGACAGCTCCTGCAAAAGGCTTCACTAGTTGGCGAGGCTCACAGAGTCACTAATATGACTCAAAACAGGTACATGAGAATCTACTAAAAGTGAAACACGTAGCTGAAAAACCGTGTCAATATATTAGTATTAGATTCTGAAAAATGATTGATCATAATATAAATAGTATAAGGTAACCCTGTGGAAAGATACGATTAACCCAATGGATGTATCCGAACCCATCACATCTGCAGATCAAACTAAGCCAGAATCAGTGCCACATGACAACAATGTTTTGGATGGCATCTGCAAGACTGATGCTTGCAGTTTTTCTTTACTAGAGCGAAAGTCACAAAATAAAATTTAATCTGTCCCCAAATCCTGACCTTTTTTCAGCAAAATGACAACATTATGTTTAACACTAGTGTTGGAGTTGAGCATAAAGAAACATTTAGCACTTCATACACAGCTATTTATTAATTTTAAGCTACTTTCATATGTAGAACAATACAAATGACAGATAAATTGATGATTACCTACAAATGCAGAAAAACAAAAAATAATTCCCATCCAAAAAATGAGAGTAATCAGCTGAACTGACATGAGATCCCAAATAGCCATTTACAATTCAAATTCAAGGGAGCCTTGAATTTCTTAGGAGGCTTTTCTTCATGTGAAGTAATAGATTCTAACCTATACAATAACCAGATTCACTTTTCTTTTTCTTACTTCTTTTTCGTAAAGAACAACTAGAAGTTTAAATAAGAGTAATACTACAATGACCACATTTATATATCACATTTAGTTTACCATATGATGTGTCATCACTACATCGGTAACAAACATCAATGGTCGAACCTATTATTCAACCAATGCAATTATGACGAACGAGATGGTAAACCAAATGTGGTAGATAAATATAGTCATTGTAGCATTATTCTTTGAACAAACACTTGGCACATTAATTGTGCAAGTGCAAAGTTAACTCACACATAATGTATTAGGATCTCATTGTCCAGTTACTCAGCTTTGCTAGTATTCCCAAATAAAATGTAGCAAGTCCGTCACAAACACAAAATTGTTTGGCATGCATTAAACTTCAAAATTATTTCTGTGAATGGCACACTAGTAATATTAGCAAAGTGAAATTAAAATGAGAAGTAAACTGACAGCAAAACAAAACACAAGGTGGTACATGAGACGAGATAATGAAACAAACCTCTTCTCCCAACGATTTGCACTGAAGAGTAGATGGATTGCATGATCATCCAATTGCGACTTATTAGCAAGATAAGCGGAAATCATTTGCCCAACACCTGTATTTCTATCAGGAAAACGCCATGATTCAACTGGATGGCCAAGTCCCTCCAAGTAAGAAAGCAGCCTGCACGATTGTGAGGTCTTCCCACTGCGATCCAACCCTTCTAGTACAATTAGAGCACCTCTTGAACCACTCCTCTGATTGTTTTCCATCTGAACTTGCCTTCAATGAAAATTTCAAATTCAATGATCGCCGAATTGCTACTGCCCCAAATTTTCTTTAAACATCAGACCAAATAACCCCGATGAAGCGATATATAAGGGAGGGATTGAGAGGGAAAGTGAGGGCTTTGTTTTGGATGCAAATTAATTTGAATTTAAACCTCGGATTGCGCGCCATCTATGATTGAATTGATGAGGAGGAGGCGCCGCGCCGGGATGGGTGTGTGTGCGTGGGTTCATTTCCCTCCAATTTTGAGTGGAAGGGACCCATTACACGCGGTTCGATGGAGCTTTCATCCTCCGTCGGCAGAAATTATCCGATATGATTTATATTTAAGATAATTTTTTTAAAAAAATAAAGGGGGATGCACCAATAAATCTCAAATTAATAACTTATGCACTATTTAGTCTTAAAAGTTTTTTTATAGACTGAAAGGTCCCATTACAATGTTAATAACATCAGATACAATGTTAATAACATCAGAGTCATGTTACAAACATTGGATTTCAAACATCTAATGTTCATCAAATTTCAATAATGTTTGAAAATATATGATGAAAAACATCTAATGTTCATCAGATTTCAATAAATTTTGAAATTATAGAATGAAACATCAGATCATTTACATCATTCACATCATGTTGATGTAAAAATGGGACTAAATGGAGCATAAGAAAACTTTTAGAACTAAATGGTTCAACGTTTCAAAAACTAAGACTTATGGGTAAATTTTCCAAAAATGAAATTATATACCGTATATATATTTAAAATATATGTGAAATATAATTTTACTAATGTATGCCCGTATTCGTGCCTTGTAAATAAAAGTACGTGGACAAAAAATAAATAAATAAATAAATAGGGAGAAAAATTAAAAAAAATAAAAATAAATGAAAAATGTGAAATCATGGAATTATTCATGGAATCATAAAAGGGTGGGTGAGAAAAGCAAAAAGTAAGATAGAGAAGCGAGAAAATAAGATACATCATAGTTGTTGTTTTATAGTTTGAATAGATCTGAGTCATCCAAATGTCTTAGTAGGACAAATGTGTGTAGGACAAATTCAAAAACCATCTTGCTTGATTATATGAAAAAGAAAAGGAGGAAAGTAGGATCATAGGATCATTTATGGGGTTATTTATGGAATCACTGAAGGGTGGGTAAGAAAAGGAAAAAGTAAAAGAGAGAAGCGAGAAAGTAAGATACATCACAGTCGTTGTTTTATAATTTGAATAAATCTAAACTGTCCAAATGTCTTAATAGAACAAATATGTGTAGGACAAATTCAAAACCATCTTATTTTATTATATAGATATATATACATATTTTTTTTTCAAATTTATTTTTAAATTGTTAGACTAAACACAACTTTTGTGGTTTGTTTTGACAAATAGTTAAAAGTTAATTTTTTGATTTTTTTTGTTTTTTTAAATCATATCATTGTATATATATATATATATATATTTCTTTTAATAAAAAAATTTAAAAATTAACTTTTAACCTACTATTTAAAATAGATTTAGGATAGGTTTGGCATCCCTTAAAAAAATCAAAAAGTCATTATCCTATTTAAGTCACATCATCTTATTTTTAAGTCACATCACCTCTCTACCATATCACTTTAAACCCAACATATATTTTATAAAAAGTCAAAAAGTGTAATTATTTAAAACATTCCAAACAATCCCTTTGTGAGACAAGTTACTCACATGGAGAAATAAAATCATAAAATATGAAGACATTTTTGAAATTCTGTCAATAATTTAAAACTTTATTATTCAGGTGTATATTATATAAGTAAAAGGAGATTTTAACCATAAGAGTTGTAAGAGTTTCAAATTCTCAACATGAATTTTTAGAATTTTATATTTTTAAATAATTAAAAAACTTTTTATTGGTTAACCCAACTAAGAAAAAAAAAAAACCTCTAATTATTCTTTAAATTTGAATAAAAAAAAAAACTATCCTTTAAATTTGAATTTTAAATTTTAAATATCCCACTAATATAGAAAATCATGTCAATTAAAAACATTAAAAAAAAAAATGATCTATCCTTAAAAAAAATCTATACTTCTGAATTTCAAAATTCAAAAACATATATCCCACTTAATATGAGAAATATTGATTTCTTCCAATATTTCCTTGATAAAAGACCTTTATCTTTAGAAACCCTAGACCAACCAACTCTCTGCAAATCTATGTGTGTAAAAATGTTAATCTCTCTCTTAATGCTAATAGTCTAAGTTTGAAGTAGTTGAAAATTAAAGAGTAACATTGAGTTATGAATATGTAATTCACTACAACAAAAAAAGATTTTTACGGTGCGCAATGCACGTCGTAAAAACCCTTCTACGACGTGCAGTGCGCGTCATATTATGACCAGTCATGGAAAGTCATTCACTTTCAACGACATGCTTCGTACGCTGTTAAAAACTATTTAACGGCAGATTTTGTGCGTCGTTATTACTTTTTTTACGACATGCTATAGTACGCCGTTAAAAACTATTTAACGGCAGATTTTGTGTGCCATTGTTACTTTTTCTACAACATGATTTAGTACACCGTTAAAAACTATTTAACGGCAGATTTTATGCGTCGTCGTTACTTTTTCTATGGCTACTTTTGCACATCGTTAATTGGTGAGACAACTAATGACGCTGGTTGCACGCCATAAAATATGTAATACGACTTAGTATGTCTGCCGTAGAATATGCAAGTTTATATATATATATATATTTTTTTTTTCAAATTCAGCAAGTTTTGTTTGACCAATTTTGTACAATCTAACGAATATTACAAACAAGCATCACAAAACATCAATCAACTACCATTATATTGTTTGAAACATGAAAAAGAATCTATATCCATAAATTATAAACATTTAACAATTGTCTATACATTCCAAACATTCAAAAACTATATCCTTAAGTTCTAAACTGTACAAAAAGTTTAAACCATCCAAAACTATGCATATCTAACTTTCTAAATGAGTCACACAACCAAAAAATATAAATCTTGCAAAACATAAATGAGTCTCAAGGCTAATGAAGTACAGGATTTCAGGACCCAAACCATAGAATCCACATTCCTTTCCAAATTCTCTATCACCAATATAGTTAGGACCTGCCATAGAAAACACCATCTCAATATAAGTTGAATAGACCACCAAATTGGTAGACAAAAAACATCAATTGTATTTGAATTTTACATTAATGAACAAGCCAACTAGGATTAGATTGAGAGAATTTATCATGATTATATGTGCTCATGCACAGGCACACAAATGTTGTCCTATCCTAACTGTGTCAACATCCCATTTTCAAAAAATTCAACAGATTGAAGCATATGTTTCTGCTCTCAATATATATACACCATGAAGTGGTGCAAACTATCCACCCTTACTTCTAACTTTTTAGTTATTTATCGTTTATTAAAGTTGCTTGTGACAAATAAATTGCTTCTTTAAAAAAATTTTAAAAAAAAAAAAGAGGCAGACAATAAAAGGAATGATAGTGCAATTGTTCTTGAAGGCATAACAAGCATTGGATGCCAATAATGTTTTTTATCACCAAAAGGCTAGACCCAATGATGTGTAAGTGATATAATTGGTTAATAATTAGAGAAAATATGAGATAAAGTGTTACATTTAATATCCTAATTAATTGCCACATCATTGAACTTAAAAAGTGAATCTAATTTTTTGTCTTGAATAACAATGCTAAAAAATTAAATATAAAATTGTCAATGCATTTGTGTTTGTACCTTAGATATAAATCACACTAATAATTCATTCAATACATGGCACCTGTTGGTAATTTAGGAATATAGGAGTGACTATATCCTATATTGCTCATGAGAGAAAGAGAGTGAGATATTAAAATTTCCTATTTCAGAATTAGTTTTTTAGACACTTAAGTGAAAGTATCATAAATGATGTTTAGTCTTGACTCAAATCAAACCATCAAATGTCTAAATGATTTCTAGTTAGTTTATCAACCTTTTAATTCAATAAAATTTCTATTACAAAAGTATATGAATCTCACTCTTAAATGGTGTTGGAATTAAAACTCACATGTAGAGTCTTTTTAAAGAACAACAATAAATTAACCATACTCACATTTAGACATGTGACATGATAGTTTGAAAAGCCTGCCCTCCATTTCACCACCTCACAAGAAGATTGTATACCCCAACTTCATCAAAAATTATTCAGCATCACATAAACCAATATCACAAACGAATTTTGACAATTTATTTGTGAGACTTAAAATCTACTTTAGATGAGGAACAAGATCAATTTTATCTCATTACATTTAGAACTTGTTTGACTTGTGGGTAACATGGATGTCTCAATTTAATTATCCTAAATTACGAAGTTGGAGATCTCTTAATTACCTTCACTACAACAAGAAAGCATTTTTTACGGAACCAACTTGTCTACAATAATTTATATAGTGTTGTGAAGAAAATCTGCCTATGTACTTGACTTAGAGGTTCATTGTTATTCCAATCAATTAAATTACTTAGATTGAAAGAGCTAAAAAAAGCTACTATATTATATATTGTTTTGCATGACCAACACTGAAAACAAAAAGGATCATCTTTTTAATTGACGTATCTATGTTATAATTGACCTACTTGGTTGTCTCATTACCTCAAAGTAAGACACGTCAGCCTTTTCAATACACCGGGATAGCCAAAAACCACCTAAGGGATAGTAAAAAGGGGAAAGTTTTTCATGGTTTCACAAAATACAGGACCATTATAAACAAACAAAAACATCTTGTATAAAGAGACATAAATGACATTAAAAAAAATTGAAGTGACAATTTGAGAAGCATTAGTGGCATTATTAGTATCAATTAGATTTATTAAATAATTGAAGTCAGCATCAGCTTCATGGTCCAGAAGTTTACTGAATAGCATGAACGGCATACCTGGATATCCATCATGGCCATGTACCTCCGCAGTGGGACTTGATACTAGCAGATATTGTGCATCAATTTCTTGATCTGGTAGGTAAAGTAACAAGAAAAATATCCATCATTAGTCCTTTTTTCTAAGACGAGGAAAATTTAAAAACACACAAAAATGAAAATGGAGAATCCAAAAGTAGAGGCGGTGTATTTTTTATAACCTAAAGATTTTGGGGCAACGATGACTGGGAGACGAAGACCACGCAGATAATGGGCATCCCTCTCTTTCTCAGAGAAGGCAAGCCCTTTGTTATGGTATGTGTGGAGATATATTTTCTGAGTACCAACACGTGGCTAAGGTGACGCCGACGTGTTAGCCAAGGTGCCGCGTGTCCAGGACATGACGCCGAGGTGATCTCGACAAGGCCGAGGTTATCTGCGAAGATACCGGAATCTGAGATAAGCGGATAAGAGACAAGAGTCCTAGAATGGGAGAGGACTTCAGTTTGGGTAAAGATGAGACTCTTAGAGAGTTTATCCTAATTCTACTAGGAGTCCAAGATTAGCAGCAATCCTAAGTCCATTTGAGCTAGGCTCCTATTGGGACTAGGATTGTGTTGGCTATAAAAGGGAGGCACCCCCATGGGTCTAAGGTATGCTTTTTATGCTCAAGCTAGTGAGTTTAGCACTATTGATTATCTTCGAGAGATATACTGACTTGATCGTCGGAGTGCCCCCGGGTGGACGAACCACCGCCGGAATTTTCTCTTTCTGTTATAGGTTAGCCAGGTGTCATCTATTCTACCAGTGTTCTCCAGCTGAATACTGAGTTAGGCAGTGTGATCGGAAAATCACTCACACAATTTGGCACCGTCTGTGGGAAAGAAAGTAGAATAGATGGCCAGTAACGGACAGAAGGAAAAGATTGGGGACGACACTCCTACTGGGAGTGGGAGACCTATAGACCTTGATGGCGAAGGAGACAAGTCCAATGCAGAAACTCATAAGCAAGCTCACGGAGTAAAAGATGTCGGCCAGACTGGCGACGTACCAAAGAAACCTAATCAAAGCAGGTACTACAACGAGGACGACCTCCAGGTTTGGAAGGATAGGTGCCTACGGAGGGACGAAGCGGTAAAAGAGATGGCAAACAAATTGGCAGACCCTCAATCGGTCGTCATTTCTGATGCAAAATAAACGTCATGCAGCCACCATTCCCGCTGTAAGACACACCGATTCCAGCGGCCAATGCCAGAGAGGGAGGCAGAAAACAATCCCTGTAGCTCCTCTCAGCACAACGGGAGCGAAAAATACTCTCACCGACCTTCTAGGGAAGTCGGACGAAGAGAGTCGAGAAGAGAAGAATCACGGAGGACGCATCGCACAAAGGAGGCAGACCCCAAAGGACATCGTCATGTTCAGGGGCAGGCACTGTGCTTCGATACAACTCTGGAGAGGGTCGAAAAGAACTCACCACGAAGCTGAAAGTAGCGCACCAAAAAAGACTGAAAGCAGGAGGATAACCGAGCTCCTGGGCGGACGAAGGAGGACTTAAGAGATCACCTCAAGAGAAAGTAATATAATGACGACGCCGAGGTAACCTCCCAGATAAGCCGATGACACCATTCTCGGTGGAATTGGACAGGTTGAGGTGCCGAAGAGCATTCAGATATGCGAGGTTTCAAATATACGATGGTAAGTCAGACCCCAACTTTCACGTTGGATTATATTTGAACTCAATGGCATTGTATAGTGGGAACGAGCCATTGCTTTGCAAAGTGTTCCCCTTATCTTTTGGAGAGATTGCATCAGATTGGTTCTACAAATTACCAAAGGGAAGCGTAAAGAATTGGGAAGGCCTGGCCAAGATGTTCGTGGCCAGGTTCGTGACAAACAAGCTGCAGCCATTAAGGGTGGATGCATTGATGGCTCTGAAGATCAGCAAGGATGAAGGCCTTAGGGCCTATGCAAAAAGATACTATGAGGTGTTCAATCGAATACCCAAATGCAATCATGAGGTGGCGGTCATATATTTCAAGAACGGCTTGAAAGACAACTGTCAACTACGAAAGTCTTTGGCAAAGACATTGCCAAAAAGTATGGAAGAACTCATGGCGAGAATCGAGAAGTACGCCAGAGCCAAAGAAGACACGTCAGGAACTAGGGAGATAAAACAAGAGAAAGGAAATGGCTCACCGAAGCGAGGCCGAGGTAATAATGGATCGAGCAAACAAGAAACAGAGTTAAGGGCCACACAGGCAGTAGCAACTGTGTTTCGAATCCCGATTTCCAAAGTCCTGGATCGGATTCGAAACCAACCCTATTTCAGAACACCAGCAAAGGCACCAGGAGAATTTATGGGAAGGAACATTGGCAGACATTGTGCTTACCACAATGAAAATGGGTATATGACTCAGGGTTGTAGAGCCCTGAAAACGCACATGGAAGAACTGGTGAGGCAAGGCCACCTGAGAGACCTCATCGATGAGGCTAGGACAAGGGAAGAACAGGCAAGATTGCCTCAGGCACCAGCAGCTCCGCCTCCCCCAGCACCACAACCTCAGGCAGGAGGACCTCGGCTAGTCAATGTGATTCACTTGAAGGTCAGCGAGAATGAAATTAGGGGGGAGACCCAAAAGGTGAAGCACCTGCAACATGTCTACGAAGTCGCGGAGAAGAGACATCGGGCAGAGGAGCGCCAAGGACCAGTAGTGTCCTTTTCAAAAGCCGACCTTGAGAAGGTCCAGCATCCGCATAATGATGCCTTAGTAGTATCCTTCCAGGTTGAGGAGTACCAAGTGAAACACATCCTGATTGACCAAGGCAGCTCTTACGACATCATGTACGTTCGATGTTACAAGGAGCTCGGCCTTCACCCAAACGATATGGAGCAATCCAATAGCCCAATGGTCGGGTTCAATGGAACGCCGACATGGCCACTGGGAACAACCAGCTTGGAGGTGCAGGCGGGCACCAAGAAGGTAACAACAGAGTTCACCATAATCGACACACCCTCCCTTTACAACATCATCTTGGGAAGGCCATGGTTGCATGCAATAGAGGCAGTTCCCTCAACATTGCATCAACTATTGCGATTCCCAACAGAGCATGGGATAGAGGAAATCAGAGGCGATTAGCTGCAGGCGAAGAATTGCTCCATGGCAGCAATGAAATCCACCTGCAGCATACGAGTGCCAGAAAAGGCAG